CTTCCTGTGATTTTCAAGCGATGCAGTACGGTACTTGATGTATGGACCGAATAACGATATAACTGATCGTACCTGTAGCATTAAGTCAACTTCGTCCATCGATTCTTTGCTTTTTCCTGCACAAGCTGAGATTAATTCGAGCGGTAGAGCTGCGCGGATTCTACTTTCAACTTCTGTTTCGAAGAACCTTGCAAACGACAACTCGCACTCGGGGACCTTTAATATAGTCCAGGGAAAGATGGTTTTACTTTTTGTCATGCAAAATACCGAGCAGTTAACAATACAGCTCATCTTCTTCTTGCCAGTTCTTAGCACACTTGCGAGACAAATCACGTGATAGTCACGTGACAAAATAATAACAATAATAAGTTATGATGCGGGTGGGTGCGGGCGGGAAACGGGAAACTAATAATTCGATTGGAGCGGCCTTAATTAAAATCACCACGCCTTTCTGGTAGTCTACATAATTATACGTGGGAGTTACAGAGTGCTTCAAGCAGTGACAAAAGCATTAAAACAAACACGGAAATAATGCTACAATTCTTAATATAAACACAATATTGTGCAATAATTAGTGTAACTTTGCAAACTCGGCTATATGAAACACTAGCCATGACAGCTCATAAAACACTTCGCTGAACTTTTATTTCTTTCTAGTCTCGCGTAGATAAAAAGTAATAAATTGCGTTAATAAAAAAATAAAGAAAAATAGTAGTAATAATAATAATAATAAAACAAAAACAACACTATAAATCACAAAAAAATACAAATTAATTAGTAGCTACTACAATTCTTAATAAACAATTAATGTAAACGTGCGAAGTCTATATTTAAGTCTAACTCTGAAATGTCAAAATAAGTCTGCTGCACTGAACTATCATGTCTACATAAAAGTCCTTTAAATTGGTAAAACTGAATAAAATTACCCGCTTTCATTTCTTTCAAAACATCTTCTTCAGTCTTGCTAGCCAAGAATAAATGCTTTAGTTGATATTTCTTGCTACTGATAGCTAAAGCATTACCAAGTGCTGAAGTCATTGGTGTGAATGAACAATCAAGGATGAGATGAGTGAGATTACCATACAGTGCTGGGTCTACTGGTAGTTTGATAGCTTTTTTAAAAAAGAGTGGTGTACAATAAATGTAAAGAACTGCAAGTCTGTGGCATTTATGAAGTATGCTTTCAAGCCCTTCAATAATGTATGACTTTAATTTAGTAGTCTGTCTATATGAAATATCGATTCCCAGACATAAAAGAGACTCCAGATTTGAAATAATTGAAAGCAAATGTTGACTAATAAAGTAATGTAACTCTTCAGTCATAGTAGTGCCACGTGAGTTAGTGACATGAAGACCTTTGAGTCTGGTCATTCTCTTAATATGATCAATAACACTTTCCTTGACTACCAATTCTCTATCAGTTAGGACTCTTGATGGACGTTCACCACACTGTGAGTTGGAGATGAGTGGTGAGAGAGAGCAACAGTTGACAAACAAATATTCCAAATATTTCATTCTTGACAAAAGATTCCAAAAGTGCTCTGCATCAAACTTGATACTATTTCTGGAACTAGTAGAGAAACAAGACACATCTAATCCTCTTAGCTTGAGGCAGTGTACAGATAATGGAACAATGTAGGCATCAAGACAATCTGATATAATACTTCCCTTTAAACTGACCTCCAATATGTTAGGGGTCTCCTTGACAATCATACGAAAGGAGCCGAGTGATACGGTTACAGAAGAAAATCCAAGTATGGTAATGTTAACTCCATATTGACTGGTATAAACTGGCAGATCAGGGGTGACAGCTTCATCTTTAAAAACAGCATATTGTTGTCTAACATCATCATTCATTGGTGTGATCATATCTCTCATTGTAATCATTAGCTTCCCATTAGCAGTCACAGCAACAGATTCAGAACTATTGGGGCCAATTTCGAATGAGTACAAGGGTACATCATAAAAATCAAAGTTCAAAGGTTGCCGAAGCTTCTTATAAACTGCAAAATAAGCCGAATGAGTGATATTAGGAAGAGGGTGTGTATTCCTAGACCAATCAGTGTCATTGAGTGAAATGATGATAAATATTTGTGGCAAACAATTGTTCAACAGCC